CAAAGCCAAATATTCCATAAAATCTAAGTGTGTGTGTGTGTGTGTGTGTGTGACCTATAGAAGCTCATATGAAGCAGATGAAGGTGATTTAAGCAATAGGCTCTATTGATAGGACCTTCCCTTTCTTTAGACTTGTATTTTTATTGAGTTTTGAGATAACACATACTCAAAGAAAAAAATTCAGAGTACAGCAAAATGTCAAGAAGAAAAAAAAAATCACCAGAAATCCCTTTCTCCAGAATTAACTAGGCTAACATGTTGGTGTATGTCCTTCCAGTCCTCTGTGTGACCGTGTGTGTGTGAGTGTGTGTAGGCATATACATACATATAGAAACATATCCATATGAATATGAGAATTCTGCTGTTCCAACAAAGTGTCCCCCACATTGTAGAAGCTTAAACAACATAGAAGTTTATTTCTCTGCCACCTTAAATCTGGGTTCCAGGTAGAATAGTGGCTCCGTAATCATCAGGATTGCAGCCTCCTTCTATATTCTTGCTGTATTATCTCATCCTGTGGCTTCCTCCTCATGGTCTAAGATGACTGCTCCAGATCCAGCCATCACATCTGCCTTACTAGCAGCAGGAAGGGGAAATGGGAAATGGAGGTCCTGCCTCTTCCTTTTGAGTACACAACCAGAAGCTGTGCACATTATTGTTGGTAACATCCCATTTGTCTGAATGCAGTCACGTGGCCATCCCTCGCTACAGGGAAGCCTGGGAACTGGGGTCTTTACTCTGGGCTGCCATGCACCCAGCTGAAAGTCAGGGGTTCTAGGACTATGAAAGAAATGGGAGAATGGACACCATAGAATTCATTCTTTTTTAATTTTTATGTTATGTTAATCACCATACATGACATCATTAGTTTTTGGTGTAGTGTTCCATGATTCATTGTTTGCGTATAACACCCCATGCTCCATGCAGAACATGCCCTCTTTAATACCCATCAGCAGGCATAGAATTCATTCTGTTAATAATAATAGCTTGCTCCATCAAGACAGTTCTGTATCTTACATTCTAACCATTGAACCCTGGGACGCTGGGACGCTGGGACCCTGGGACCCAGAGGACGCTGGCTTGGGCCAAACTGCTAGTTGTAACAGAGCAGACTGTCTTTCTTAAGGCATAGCCAGGAGATAGTTGCCTCTGCACATAGGGAATTTTCAACTGAAAGCCATTTCCAGATGAAAGGCAGAGTCCTGGCAACATCAACATTTACCATGGCATTTCCTCCAGACTGTTCCCCATTGCCATCATGAAGAGAATCAGGAAAGGCCATTCCGTTGCAAAATCAGAGTTGTAAGATGATGATGTGTGTCCCAGACCCTCTCTGGCAAGTTTCGGCCCCTTTGCTGATCATTCTTAAAATGATACCATTAGTCTGCGCATGTGTGAATCCCATCCTGCCTACAAAAGCACTCATTTTTCGTTCCTTCTTTTCACTTCCAGAGGAGGAGGAGTTTGAGCACGTGTGTGTGTGTGTGTGTGTGTGTGTGTAGTGAGAACATTTAAGATCTACTCTCTCAGCCACTTTCAAGTATACAATACAGTATTGTTAACTATGGTCACCCCACTGTACATGGCATCCCAGAATGCATTCCTCTTATAACTGTAAGTTTGTATCCTTTGACCAACATCTCCTCATTCCCCCTGCCCCCACCAGCCCCCAGCAACCACCCATCTACTCTCAGTTTCTGGGAGTTCCATTTTTTTTTAGATCCCACATGTGAGATGGAACAGTAGTTGTCTTTTTCTGTCTAATTTCATTTAGCAGAATGTCCTCAAGGCCCATCCACGTTCGCACAAATGGCAACATTTCCTTTTTTTTTTTTAAAGGCTGAATAATATTCATGTGTACATAATACATTTTCTTTATCCATTCATCTGTGGATGGACAGTGGGATTGTTTCTATGTCTTGGCTACTGTGAATGCTGCTGCCATGAACACGGAGTGCAGAGATCTCTTTGGTAGAGGTATTTTATTTCCTTAAGATATATACCCAGAAGCGGGATGGCTGGATCCTATGGTAGTTCTATTTTTAACTTTTTGGGGGAACCTCCATACTGTTTCCCAGAGTGGCTGCACTAGTCTGCATTCCCACCAACAGGGCACGAGGGTTCCTTTTTCTCCACATCCTCGCCAAGACTTGTCATCTCTTGTCTTTTTGATATGAGCCATTCTAACAGTCGCGAGGTGCTATCTCATTGCGGTTTTGATTTGCAGTTCCCTGATGATGAGTGATGTTGAACTTTTCTTCATGAACCTGTCAGCCATAAATATGTCTTCTTTGGAAAAATGTCTGTTCGAGTCTTTTGCCCATTTTTAATGGGATTTTTTTTTTTTATATTGAGTTGTATGATGCTGCCTCTTTCTTCCTACCTTTTGCTGAATCTCTTCCCATTCTCTGCTTTTAAGGTCTTGTGTCATTAGATTGGGCTTACCCAGGTAATCCAAAATAATCTGTTTTAAGGTCTGTAACCTCGACTCCATCACCAAAGTCCCTTTTGCCATGCAATGTAACATATATACAGGCTTCAGGAATTGAGGTGTATGCATCTTTGGAGGTGCCATTCCGCTCACCCCTAAACTATATTTGCTGAGCCCTTCTTAGGGAGAGGCACTCTCTGTGCTGGGGTCTGGGAGGCTCTGGGTAAGTGTCTCTCAGAGTACACTACTCCAGAAAAATGGTGGGAGGGAATGTCTTCCGGGGATCCCCCACTTCGGTAGTTTGGGTGGCCAACTTCAAACCATAGCAGCCCCTCTTGCTCTGGTTCTCTGGGCAGAGGCTAGAACCCCACTCCTCCCCATATTCATACCCCTTCAGCTCCCATCCACTACCCTGGGGTGGAAGGAGGGTCACTCTGTCCTTTTTCTATACAGACCCTATGCTCAGTCAGTCATCCATGGCCAGAAAAAATTCTAAGGAGGCCAACAGAAAGGACACATGGTGTATTTCAGTCTGTGTGTTATGCTGGCTTTTTTTTTTTTTTTTTTTTTTTTGCCCAGGGTGCCTGTAGTCATTTCTGAACCTGTTCGCACCTGCTGTGGTCCTTGCAATGTCACTACCCCCTCCCCCCCAAACCCCACACAGGCCAACACAACCCTCCACCCCTTCATAACCTTGGCCTCTAAGGTCCGTCCCTCGGCCAGCTGCTTGCTGCCCCTCACCCCACGGCTGTTGCAGGTCAGTTTCTGCCGCGGGAGCACAACCTCCTCTGGCTTTCCCCTTCCCTCCCACCACGGGGAGATACCAGCTCAGGCACATCCTAGGGGAACCCGCCCATCCGCTGCCAACCCCAGGCTCAATCCGGAGTCCTGAGCTCATTCTTCAGGGAACTTATTTGGTTGGAGGGCAGAGACAGCAGGTGACTCAGTCACCCTAGCAACCGGGTTTAACTCCGGGAGGGCAGGAGCGGGAGGGCCGCCCAGGGTCTTTAGTAGATGTTTTCAGAAAGTAGAAGCTTTTAATGACATTTATGGAGCACTTGCTGTTTGCGGGTGTGGCGCTAAGCTCGCTGCACTTATTAATAAGGTCGTGCAACCCTCACAGCAACCCTGGTTGGGAGATGCTCTTATTGTCCCCATTGTACGGAGGAGACTGTGGAGAGCGGACTCATGCGCCTTCGCTTAAAGGCTGTCAATGTCATAAAGACCTCCAAGGATGGCGGGTGAAAGCAGAACCACAGAGAGGTCCAAACACAAATAAAAATGGGCAAAAGAGGGCGCCTGGGTGGCTCAGTTGGTTAAGCACCTGCCTTCAGCTTAGGTCATTCTTATGGGGTTCTGGGAAGGAGCCCCACATCAGACTCCCTGCTCAGTGGGGAGTCTGCTTCTTCCTCTCCCTCTGCTCCTCCACTCGTGCTGGGGTTCTCTCTCTCTCACTTTCTCTCCCAAATAAATAAAATTTTTTTAAAAAAATGGGCAAAAGACCCAAACAGACATTTTTCCAAAGAAGACATACTTATGGCCGACAGGTTCATGAAAAGAATGTCAACATCATCACTCATGGAGGTGCCTTTTCCAAATACCCTGTCACCCTGTCCCCTAGTCCTTGACAGAACCCATTAGCATGGCTACCTCCATACTCTGCATGCTCTTCTGCATCCCCTTTCTCTGTGTGTAATTCATCTTGGAACATCTTCTCACATCAGTACAGAGAGATCGTCTCCTTGCTCATTATCCACTCCAACATCCTTTCTGGGAGGGAACGATTGAAAACAACCCAAATGCCCTTGTCAGGGCAAATACAAATAAAACTTCTCCCTGGTGCCAAAAAGGGAGACATCCCCTCTCCCTTTTCTGAGAGCATCTACTTTAGAAAACTTGCAAATTTTTCCCCTGCTCCTATTCAAGTCTTTAAAAAAAAAAAGCTGAATAAGCCTCTAGCCAGTTTCACTTCCCAGGATCACTTTTCTCAAAGACATCTCTTTATAACGTATATAAGACCATCTCTTTATAACGTAAATGTGAAGAAAGTCAGTGCCCCCATCACCCAGCCTCTGGGGGAGGGAAGGAGCCTAACATCAGTGCTTGGCTTCCAGTTGTGAAAAACCCCCTCATAAAGACATGAATTTCTTTTTCCTGCGGATAAAGACAGTTAGCTAACCCCGATAGCCATCCCAATTACTAGGCGAATTCAGGGTGAACGATGTAACCCTCCCTTGAGGACCAGCTACCATTTGAGAATATGGACGTAGTAGGTTGTATCTTCTGGAAGATGTGAAAGGAGGGGTTTCTTTCTGCCTTTGCGAGCTTTTCGGTCGATTGTCTGTGCTGTGCACCCATAATCTGGTTTGACGCTTATTTAGTAATAAAATGGTTTTCTTTCTCTTCTGCTTTTGTGGAGAAGTTTTCTGGTTGGCAGGAGATTCTGTTTTAAATTTTGTCTTCAATACCTTCAAATGTCTTTCTACGGAGGGCTGGTTGCATAAATTTGGTACCTCCCCACAATGGAATACTATATGGTCATGACAAAGAGCCAGAAACTTCTCTCCATTTTAATTGTTGAGCAAAAGTGCAAGGTACACGGTAGTTTGGTACTTTTTCTGTAAAAAGAGTCTGTATTTGTACTTGCATAATCTCTGCAAGAGTGAACAAGAAACTAGTAAAAGTGCTTGTGTGTGTGCACGTGCCCATGAGTGTGTGTGTGTCTTTGTGTGTGTTGAGAAGAACTGGGCAGATGGGGGACAGGAGAGAAGGAATTTTTTTGCTGAACATCATTTTATATTTTCTGATTTTTGAAACATGTGACTACATTATCTATTCACAATAAATTAAAAGGAGGGCTGGTGGCAAGCAAACAAACCACTAAAGAAAAGAAGTCCCAGGACCAGACATTCTCTAAGCACTTGATTCTATTAATTTCTGAGCTTAGCCTTGACCTTAGAACTAACTGAAAACCGATGATATTGATTTTGGGGTTCATGTTAGACTTTTTCTTGGGAGGGCTGATTTTAGTGTAAAAGCGGGGAAATGTCTATCTAAAAAAAAAAAAAAGAAAGAAAGAAAAAAGAGAACAAAATAACAGTCATGTAGCGAATGCACTTCTTCCCAGACTTCCCAGGGTTCTCAGGGTCCCATCCTGGCCTTGGTGAGTGGGGGAAGGGGATGGGACTCACTTCCAGAGTTTTGGTGTAGCCCCTCCCCCCATCATCTCTCTGCCTCCCAGGAGGTCACTCACTTTCCAAGCAGCAGGACCTTGTGGGTCAGGAGGGGTGACAGGAAGGGGTGTGTGGGGTACAACGTCCATCCATATTGGGAACTGGGGAGTCAGGATGCCCAGGGTCCCACCGTTTGCCATCTTTTAGAAGCTTCTCTGCGAGGAGAGTGGGAAAAAGGAAATGGGGCAGGGGTCATCTCTCAACCACCCTGGCCACTTCTACGTTGTGTAGATTGTCCCTTGTTATTTCTTTCGGGCAGCAGATCAGGAAATGGCCCAAGAGGGCTTGCTACATGCTGGGCGCTTCTCCCCTATATCCCCGAGCTAAGCCTCTGAGGTAGGTGCTATTTATCATAATCCCCATTTTAGGAAACCGAGGCACAGAGAAATAAGTGACTTCCCCGAGGTCCCACAGCCTGTGAGGGCTAGCTCACCCTCTCAGCGGTCGCGCTTCTGACACCCTTGAGCCTGCCTCCAGCTGGGTGCTGCAAACCTGCTCTCTCTCAACGGTCCGGAGGCGTTCGGCAATGGAGTTGCGGGCACTGTGACCCAGAGTGGGGGAGGGCTGTGCTCTGCACTTCCAGGTCCCGCGGGGGGCCTTGTGGCGTTCTCCACCCTTGCCCTTGGGACCTTGGGCATGTGCCCTGCTCAACTTCCCAGGTGTTAGTAACGGGGGCGGCTCAGGGCGCTGTCCTGGACCGCGCCAGGTGTCCTAGGCGGAGCACTGCAGGTTGCAGAAGTCGGCCGACGAGAAAAGCCGCAGCACGTTGACCAGCGGGAACATGAGCAGAGCTCCGAGCAGGGAGCCCAGCTGCACCGCCGCGCCGCACCACAGGAGGGCGCTGCGGCTGCGGTCGCGCAGGATCACGCCCAGCATCACCTTGACGTAGCTCAGACAGCCAATGAACAGCACCCACGAGGCCACCTGCGGAGAACGGGTGGCAGAGATGCAAAGTGAAGGCGACTTTGGGGTGAGCCCCAGGGGAGAAGGATGCTTGTAGGGTGACCTAACTGGGCTAAGGGAACCCCATGGAATAACCTTTAAGTTCAAGAGTCTTTGGGGGTGACCCCCTAGGGCTAAGAGGGCCCCATGAGTTGACACCCCGGCCCAGGGCAAAGGGGAACCCAGTAGCCTTGGTGCCCCCCGTGATCAAGTCAAGGGCATCTGGGAGAAAGCCAGGGCTGAGGTACACATGGCAGGGAGAGTGTGGCATTCAGCGGAGAGGCTGGAATGTCACCTTGGACCAGCCACCTTACCTTCCTAAGCCTCCATTCCCAAAGGAGAAGCATCCCTCCCCCTGCCCAACCCCACCTGGGGCTTCCTCGGGGCGCAAACACAAAGACTTTGGCCAACAGAAAGCGCCTTGGCTAGGGGAGGGGGAGGGAGGGAGGCGGCTGCACAGGCCAGATACTTACAATGAGGATTTCTCCAGCCCAGTGGCCCTGCATGAGGGGGCAAGGGCTCATCACGGCCATGGCCATGTTGTAGGCCCCGAAGCCAGTCCCGAGCACCGTGAGGACCCCCAGAATTGGCAGAGACCTAGGGCAGAGTAGAGGAGGAGAATGGAGGAGGTGAGCAGCCTGACTTCTGCCTCCCCTACCCTGGGGCGCCGCGTAGAATGGTCAGTGTCTCTAGGGTTAGAGGTCAGATCCACATGGAAACTTCCAGGCCATCTGGCTCAAGCAGGTCAGTGAGCTTCCTGAGGGGCAAAACTGGTCTAAGTCACCCTGAGCATTCATGGCAGGAGAAACAGAATGGACTCTGGTGCTACGGGGACCTGGTTCAGATTCCCCTTCCCTCTGAAGCTGCGAGACTGGCCCCTGAGCCTGCTTCCTCACCAGCGCGAGGAGCTGGGCAGGGCCACCGGAACCTGTGGAACGGAATGCGCAGGGCCTGGCCCGGGGCCCCACCCGCTGTTCCACCAGCTCCCATTTCCTCCTGCAACATGCCCAACCTCAGCCAGGAAGCCGGGGGGGGGGGGGGGGGGGGGGGGGGGACAAGGATGTGGCTTGCAGCCTTGCACTGCAGGCAGTGCTGTGAGCCTCAGCTGACCCCTTCCCCTCCGGTGTCATCTACAGCATGAGGTCTACGTGATCTAGGGGCCCTGATGGCTGGCTGGGATCCCACGTCGGCTCTACTATGACAACGGAGGACACTGTCCTTCATTAGAGGTCATCCCCCTGGGGCCTCCCTGCGCACGCTCTTCAGAACACCAAGACTGCCTGGGGTCCTGCATGGGAGTGGAGGGCCTGGCCCTGCCTCTAAGGACTCTTTCTGCTCCGAGATTCTTAGAGCTCCTGTCTTACAGACTGGGTATTTCTAACATTCTGGGCGCTCCCTATTCCACACATCTGTGGACTGTACTTCTGCTTCCCCAGAAATCTCCAGCCTCCTTCCACAGTTTCAATCCCGAAGGGAGAAAATTCAGCTTTCTGGCAATGTGACATTTTCTGTCTGACTCTCCTCTTCTCGTTCTCCCTCCTTCCTGAGCTGGGGAAGGGGGCGTGAGCAGGTCAGAGAGGCCCGTGAGGGCAGGCAGGGCAGAGAGCTGGCTGGGAGGTTGTGGGCCCTCAAGTTTCACGACCCCAAAGTCCGTGTGTCCCTTCCCAGGGTCTGAACCCCTGCAGCGGAGCCACTTAGGTTGTGTACTAAAATTTGAAATCTCAGGTCCCAATGTAGGCTGGCTCAATCTGCATTTTGTCAATTTGCTTAGCCACTCTTCCAGATCTGCCGCTGTAAAGGAGCCAGAGTGAGCCGGAGGCGGGAGGACAGGGCTGAAGTCCAGGGAAATAGACCATGGGATTAGACCCTTTCTGTGAGCCTCAGGGTTCCCACTTGTAAATGGGAACCTCAGCTCCTGCCTGCGCATTCCTCCTCAAGGCCCAGTGGCTGGTCAACACCTACACTGGACCTGCCCTGCAGAGGTACTGCTCTAAAAATCTTTACCAAATTAGCTCATTTTATGCTCCCAGCAATCCTAGGAGGGAGAACTACTATTATCCCCATTTTCCAGATAAGTATCCTTGAGGCACAGAGAGGTGAAGTGATTTGTCCGGGACCTCATTGCTAGGAAGTGGCCGAGTTGGGATTTGAACCCAGGCAGTCAAGCCTTAAAAGCCATGTTCTATACGCAGAACCTGACAGTTGGGGTTTGGAATTCTGATTCTGGAATGAAATGCATCCAACAAGAGTTCCCCAGGGCCAGTTGGGGCAGACCTGTGCGGCAGAAACATGGAGAGGAAGCAGGCGAGAGGGTTGGCCATGGAGCTGAGGGTGGCGGACAGGTGGTAAGCAACAGGCCCGTAGGAGAGGCAGGAGTAGGTCTGCACGGAGGGCAGCACGCCGTTGGTGAGCGCGTTCACGAAGGCCACCAGGACGTAGATGAAGGCCAGGTGGGCTGGGCGGTCGGAGGCCGTTTTCTCCTCTGGATGCCCCTGGGCCTTGCTGCTAGCCCCTGGGTCTGGGGGGCCCAGGTCCTCCCCTTCCCGTGGCCGGATGGAGTGGAGGGTGACCTGGGAGGTGAGGAGGTCTTCTATGGAAGATTCCCTGGGTCTGGGCTGACGCTGGAGGAGAAAGAAAGCAACGAGGCAGCAGGCCATCATGAAGGAGAGCAGGAGGAAGAAGACCAAGGGCGAGAAGTTGGCCGGGAGGTAGCGGCTTTCCAGATGGACGGCGGAACGTGTCGTCCCAGGCAGGTCAGACACCAAAGTGCTGTTAGCTCCCTGGGGAAAGACAAAACCAGGGTCAGGCAGATCCCCGGGGGATGTCGGGACACAGGTAACAGCAATATTAATAATCATATCCAATAAATAGCAGGCATTGCTAGTAAGTAAGGGCCGAATAACACACACAGAACTCCTCAGGCAGTGATCAGAAATGCCCAGCGCTCGGACGGCACTTCGCCTGGGTCAGCCCGTGCGTGCCTCCTCGCGGCCCCAGGCAGGGGGCACCATCAGCCCCAGTTCTGGAGGGCTTGGGGGTGTCAGAACGCTTCGTCTTCCCTGAGGCTCACGGGGGCTATGTGGCTTCTTTCAGACTCAGAAGCTATGCCTTTTCTCACGCTGCCGCCCGCCAGGGCCGGAGACCGCAGCCCCTCCCGAGGTTGCCCTGTGGGGCCTGGTGTGGCCAGATCCCTTCTTAGCAGATGCCGGGCCTCTAGACCTATGCATGTGAAATTTCAAAATATTTACATGTCTTCAACTAAATCAAACACTTAAAAGTGGAGTGCTCTCAGGATATGGTGGCCCTGGAACCCCTGGGTTTGCACCCATGGCTGGACCTCTGTGGTTTGGGCGATGCCAGGCCTTATGTGAAGTGTCCAACTTCACAAGTGTCCACACAGTGGAGAAAAGTTGGACGTCTTAACAACACGAAGCATTGAAGCAATGTTAAAGTCTACCGTTCTGGGTGCGTGGGTGGCTCAGACGGTTAAGCGTCTGCCTTTGGCTCGGGGTCCTGGGATCGAGCCCCGCGTTGGGCTCCCTGCTCAGCGGGGAGCCTGCTTCTCCCTCTCCCTCTGCTGCTCCCCCTGCTTGTGCTCTCTCTCTCATGCACGCACGATCTCTCTCTCAACTAAATAAATAAAATCTTAAAAAAAATAAAGTCTACAGTTCTTAGCCCTGGCTGTACCTCAGCATCACCTGAGGACTTTTGAATAAATACAAGTTCACCATCCCTGTTTTGCAATCTGGAAATGCAAAAAGCTCTGAAAGTTCGGATTTTTTTCATGCCTCAGTTGGCAGCCACACTTGAACGGAGGTAGTCTACAGCCTGACGTGCCCACTGGGCAGGAATGGCCCCCGGGCTGTAGGCAGTGACGTCACTGTGCTGGACTGCTGGGTCACAAGTGCTCTTGCAGACCAGGACAGGTGTGTTCTAAAGTCCGAAACTCCAGATTCCAAAACACTTTGGACCTCAAGGGTCTCTGAGAAGCCCCACGCCCCAGAGAGTTTCTTTCACTGGCTGGATGGGGTGGGGCCCACCGCTGTGTTTCAGTAGCCCCCCCGGGTAGGTGATCTGATGTGCAGCCAGGTCGAGAACACCGGTCTACCCAACATCTAGGAAACACAAGCCCTCTGCATGGTCTTCCTTGTGACCAAGCACAGAGCACTGTAATGGGTCATGTCCGGTACCTGTAGGAAGACAGTCTTCCCGGTGGTCTCAGTGCTTGGGGTGGTGTCTGATGGCTGAGAGACGTTGACACAGGTGGTGAGACCCGAGCCCTGGGCAAGAGCCACCAGGGCAGGCAGGAGGCCGCTGAGTCCTTCACCCACAAAGAAGGTGGTGAGGTAGCGGGTGGGCAGCCGGTTCATGAAAGGCAGGAAGGTGACCGAAGAGGTGCAGTCCACCAGGGCCAGGAAGAAGGTGAGGACCATGAAGGCAATGCTGTGGTGGCTGTCCAGCACCCAGGAAGTGACATTCCAGAGGAAGGCGAAGAGGGTGCAGGCCAGGGTGCCCACAGCCAGCACGGTGAAGATGATGGGCACTTCGGAAAGGCAGCTGGGCTGGAAGTGATGGAGCAGGGTGACCAGGAGGGGGCCGATGTTGGCCAGCTGGATGACCACCGTGAGGTAGGAGGGAAGGTACCACCCCTCGGGCAGCTCTGTCACCAGCAGGGGCAGCTCTACCCACAGCCCGTTGATGGCTACCCAGGAGCCCATCCCGAAGGTGCAGACCAGCAGGTGTACCAGGAGGGCCATGATGATGTCTGCCCTGTGCCGAAGCTGCCTCCTCCCAGATCAGCCTGCAGTGGGAACCGTGGACAAAAATGCCAGGTGAGCAATATCAGGGTCACCGTCTGTCAAAACAGTATGCCGTTTTCCCTGATCTTTCCCCTTCTCGTGAACAAGTTGGCTTTTTATGATAGGAAAACACAGACAAATTCTTTTATAACTAACCTTTCCAGAGGGGCAAGCTTCTCTAACTGTGGCTCATAATTCCAGAGACCATCAAAGAAAAGTTGGACACATATAACTGCATAAATATTAAAACAAAAGTAATCCGACAACAAAACACCTTCTTCAAAAAAAAAAAAAAGAGAAAAGGTCAGAAATACCAACAGTAAGATCAAAAGATGACCACCTGGGGGAAATATTTGCAATGTAAATCATAGACAAAGGGATCACCTTCCTCTTATGTAAAGAGTTTGTAGAAATTAAGAACAAAAAGACTGAATAGAAGAATGGGCAAAGGATGTGAACAGTTCAGAGGATAAGGTACAAATAAACCTTAAACATACAAAAAGATCTGGGCTTGCACCCAGCTCTGCCCCTGGCTAGCAGGGTGACCTCGGGCAAGTGACATTGCCTCTCTGTGCCTCCTATTCCTCATCTGTAAAGAGAGGACAGTCTTGACTTTATGGATTGTAATGATATGCAAATATGTTAATGTTAATAAGCTAATGTTTTTTAAACAGGGTCTGGCGCACTGTAAGCACTCACTGAGGGCTAGCTATCACCCTCATGGTGAAATGCCGGGTTTGGTGACATGGTTGTTTTTGTCCAATTCACATGAAAATTAATACATGACTAAATTTAATACATGACTAAAATTAATGCAATTTTTTTAAAAAGGAAAAAAAAAGTTTCCCATAAGGCACCATTTTGGAGAGAAATGTTGATGGGGCCAAGCCCTTCCTTTTAGAGACGGGAAACAGGGTGGGGTCTGGGGAGGTGGGATTTGGAACCAGTCCCTTGCAGCTTTTGGCCTCCTGACCACCCCCTGCCCCCAAGTCTAACCTCGTTCTCTTCTGGAAGCTGCCAAAGCATCCCTGTGGCTAGGCCTCACCTGGGAAAGTCCCAACCTCAGCAGCTCCTTTCCGGGTTCCATACACAGAACTGACTCAGCCGCAGATGAACTCCTTTCTTCCTTCCTCCACTGAGCAGAGTGCAGTCTGACCTGCTTTCCATCCTGCTCCACCACAGTCTGTCTAGAGGACTCAGGCAGGTGGCTTAAGCTCTGTCTCTCACCTCTGAGGCCGGCCTGACTAACAGCCCGGGACAGGCCTGGCTCTGGGCCCCCCACCGAGAGCACCCAGGGAGGGAAGCTCCAGGCAGCTGTTGCATGCGGAGGACCCTTGCCCGCCCCCGCCCCGTTCAGTCGTGCGCAGCTTCTTGGCTGCTCACTCCCACCTGAGACCAGACTGTGACATAGAACAGGCAGAATCCCACTAAAAAAGAGCTGCCCTGCCCCAACGCAGGCAGAGTTCTGCCTCTGATGAGTGAAATGACAGGGAAGGACAAAAAGGTAGAGGTTGAATGATATTCCAAGGCAGAGGCTGCTAGCTGCTTCCCATTACCTACTCTTCCCTTTTTCCTTAGTTGTCACGGAGACCAGATTTTTGGTTGGCCAAATGGCCACTGAGCTAAAGGAGTACCTTTCCCAGCCTCCCTTGCAGTGGTACACAGCCAGCCGATTGAGGCCAGGCCAGTGAGGTTGTGAGGAACTTCAAAAAGTCTCCTTAAAGATGAGGGAGCGTACCTTTCTGTCCTTCCTCTGTCCTGCTTTCTGGAACTCAGATGTGATGGCCAGAACCCCAGTGGTCGTTTTGTGCTAAGAAGGATGGTGTGGGGGCTAGAGGGAGATTAGACCTTAAGGCTTTGTGGCACGGAGTTGCCATACTGGTTCTGTTCTGCCTGCCGCTGACCTCTTTTGTTTGTTCAATGTTGTTTGCGTTGTAAAAAAGCTGTTCTCTTGTTTAAGCTACTGATTTTATATACAGCAAAACAGTGGCCAAGTGTACAGAGATAGATGTTCAAGGATATAGAGAGACTGATTACAGTAGCAGAAAACCCATGAGGACATTTATCTCCTTTACTCTGGATGTCCCAACTCAGAAACTCAGGTCCTGTCCCAACCGGGATTTGATCAAAAACCAAAATCAAATAGGATTAGTTGTTGAAATACACCTTAAAGAGACATAGAAAGATTAAGAGTAAACCTGGGGGCAAAGGTCTTCCAGGGAAATGCAAAGAGATGGAGGGAGAGAGAAAGAGAGAGGGAGGGAGGGAGAAAAAGGGAAAGAGAGAGAGGGAGAGAGGGAAGAGAGGGAGAGAAACAAAGAGCTCTCGATGTGGGATTTGATGCCAAAAGTATAAATTAAGACCCCGAGTCATTTCATATTGATAGATAGTCCTTAGCAGAGTCAAAGCAGTAGTGGATATATAGAGTCTGAGTAACATTCCCCCACAGCCCCAGACATGCCTGGAGAGACAGATGGCAGCACAGTCCGGGCGGGGTGGTGACTCACTGCTCTAGACCTTGGTGGCAGAGGGCAGCGTAAAATAAACAAGGATACAGAGGATCTGCACAGAACCAGTCAGAAAATAAGACTTGCCAGGATAGTCATTTGGGAAAAAAGAAATAAAGCTGGATCTCTTTCTTACTTCTTATCCCTCACACCTGAAAAAAAGAATTCCAGCTGGATCAAATGTTTAAATATATATTTTTTAATTAAAAAAAGAATAAAAATGTCCAAAGAACATAGAGGCAGAGGGAACTGCCTGTGCAAATGTCCTGAGGCAGGAATGAGCCGGGGGCAGAGTTGCTGGAGCAGTGGGCTTGAGATGAGGGCAGGTGGGCAGGTAAGGAGCCTGAGTCTCCTTTATGTCCAACAGGTTCTATGCACCGAAAGACTAAATCCCCACACCCCACAGAGCAGAGTTGTCTGGGTTCTAATGCAGGCACCACATGGCTGTGTAAGTTGAGGGAAGTGATTTGGCTCTGCAAGTCTCTTCCGTTGGCTGGGAAACAGTCATGATGGTGGTACGGCCCAGCATGACCCATCTCCTATGTGGCTCTCCTGCCTGGGCCTGCTTCCAGGCAGCCACACCAGGCGCCCCATGCTCCTGGACCTGGGAGACACAATAAGCCATTGATGGGGGACGTAGCCATCAGTGACGATGGCGGGGGGCGGGGGGCGGGGGGATGTCCTCGGCAGAGCGAACTGCATGTGCAGAGGCCTGGTGGTTCAGAGCAGTATGGGAGTGGCTCACAATGAGTATGTCGGGAGTATTTTTAAAAAGTACATAGCTCTTGGGCGCCTGGGTGGCTCAGTTGGTTAAGCGACTGCCTTCGGCTCAGGTCATGATCCTGGAGTCCCTGGATCGAGTCCCGCATCGGGCTCCCTGCTCTGCAGGGAGTCTGCTCCTCCCTCTGACCCTCCCCCCTCTCATGTGCTCTCTCTCTCATTCTCTCTCAAATAAATAAATAAAATCTTTAAAAAAAAAAAAGTACATAGCTCTTTTCTCTTTTCCCTCTAGTGACCTTGCAGTTCTTATTCATTCATTCAACCAGTACTTGCTGGCCACTTGCTGTGTGCTGGACAGTAATTTCTGGAAAGTGTGAGGAGAAGTCACTGAGTGAAATAAAAACCAGCAATCGAGAGCAAGTCAGCAGTGATAAGGGCTGTGGGAGGGAAGCAAAGCTGGGAGGAGCGGGCAATTGTAAATGGAGTTGTCAGAGGGAATGTGAAGGAAGTGTGGGAGTGAGCCAGGCCCGGGGAGAGTGGTGCAGGGGCAGGGAACAGCAAGTGCAAAGGCCCTGGGGTGGCTGCAGCAGTGCAAGCGGGCGGGGGTGGGGGATGGGGGGTGCACAGGTCACGTAGGGCCCTGTAGGCAAGAGTTCGGGTGTTTTCTCTGAGCCCAGATCTCCATTCCTGGGCAGAGGGAGGACAGGCTCTAATTGAGTTTTAGGAGAAGCACACCGGCTATTGTGAGGAGAGGCATGTGGGGCCAGGGGAGAAGTAGGAGTGAAGCCTGATTATCCATTAGTGAGCTGGTGTGGTATTCCAGGCACAAGAGATCGTAATGCTAATGATAATAGGAACTCTAACAGTAGCCACCATTTACTGGCCAAGCACTTTACACACATTATCCATTAGATCCTCCCAACAATCCCCAGGTAGGCAGTATGACAATCTCCATTTTATAAATGAGTTAATGCGGCTCAGAAAAGTAATTTGTCCCACGTCACCCAGCCTGTCACCTGGGAGCTGGGATTGGAACCTAGGCCGGGCCGACTGTGGACCCAGCCTGAGCAGAGCCCAGGAGGGAGGGCGTTACGAAGAGGCGGCAGGGGCCGGGCTGAGCTGGACCCCTTTCCACTCACCCCCGGGCCTCCCCACCGCATGGGCTGGGAAGGGGAGAAATGAGACTCCAAGACATATCTGCTTCCTGGGCCCCACCAGCGATGCTGGGAGACCAGAAACCCAAGTAAGGCTCTGGAGGAGACACTTAAGACTTCATCTGCTCCATGGGAGATGTGCACCCTGGTGCGGAGCCAGGACAGCCCCTGGCAAAGGGGTCTCTTTCCTTCAAATTCTTGTATCTAAAGCTGAGAGTCCCGGGCCCAAGGGAGTGGGGGTGGGGGGCCGGTGTGCCCTCAGTGCGTGGCTGGGCCACCTCCTGCCCCAGCTGGCAGGAAGGGCCCCGTCCTACCTTGACCATCGGAGCCTGGGCAGCCTCCAGTCCCGGCGCTCCCGTGCTCTCCGCTTTGCTCCCTCACCGCGTTATCAGGCATCGACTCGACTGTGGAGCTTTATCTGTGTCTTATCATTTGAGTGCTGACCGCTCCCACCGGAGTATCATCTCCCTGTGAGCAGGGCCCTGTCTCTCCTCCAGGGTGCAGGTGGCCACCTGGTTTGCGAAGGGCTGGGCCGTCGACCCAGCCTGCCTCAGCCTTGTGGGTTGAGTTGGCCAGGGTGGCCCGGGCAGTGC